ACATATGGTATTACATGTGCATCTCATCCCTGAACATCCCAAATCTACCATTCAAATTTGGTGATCATCTGCCCATCTGTTTTCGTGTGCAGTAATGACCAACAGGCAGAGAAACTGGCAGAAGCTTATTTCTGTTTGCCTAGATTTTGCGTATCTGTCACTTTTCTGCCCACCAGAAATCTCAGAAGGATTGGCAACAGGCAGATTAAAACAAGGTAAGGGAAACAGTGATACAAACAGTTAATGTCTCAAAGAGATTAAACATTAAGAACAGAGAAAGAAAGAGGACAGGGAAGGGGCATCTCTCTTGAAACAGGTAGGAAATGTTTCTTGCTTTTGTTTTAACCTGTGAGACAACCTATAAAACTCCTTTCAAAGCCTCTTCCGGTTGTTTGAAGCACAACTTCCTATTGGCCCCAAACAAGAGGGCTACGTAATCCCCAGAGAAGTGCAGTTCGAACAACCTGGAAGGCAGGGCACCATCATGTTGGGTTTAGAGCTGGTCTGCAGCCTGAGGGACCGGCCCTTGGTGCCTCTTCAGCAGACCTTCCCCTCTCTCCCCTCTCAGGCCCATCTCTGTGTCACAACCAGAAGCACAGACTCTTTTGCAACTCAAGGGCCAGATGGCCACCCAGGTTACCTCCCTGGGGACCGGATGCCAGCAACAGCTGCAGCCTGAGCCCACATGGGCCATAATCTCACACACTGTTCACTCGAGAAACACACCGTCCACATTAGTCACAGACACGCACCTCGGTTCCCCACAGCTTACTTCTGCAGCGGATCAGTGCAGACGGAAGGGGCATTTTCCCTGTTCAGTGCTCAGAAATAGAATGCTGAGCTGGCAAAAGCTCTTATCTCTGATCCGCCGAAGATTGGCATAGGAGCTCTTCATGCCTGCCTTTTCTTGCAGAGAGAGACCACCTGATCTCTAAACAGTTGCTCCAGCCAGATGTGATCAGCTTTCCCCTGCTCAGCGTGAGCAAAGGAACCCCCTTCAGCACTGAGCTGGCAAAGCGCTCTTAGCTCTGATCTGCTGAAGGTTGGAGGCATTTTTTTCTGCCTTGGAAGGGGCAGGCCGGCCCTTGAGAAGAAGCCAGGAGGGCAGAGGGAGCCCTGCCTTCCTGGAAGGAGCACACAGGGACATGGTTGCTGAAAAACTGCCGCTGACCTTCCCTGTCTAAATAATAATACACACTCTTTTGTTTGCTGAAAAACACACTATTTTGTTTTTCCTTTTTGTAGCAAGTATCTTTTCCTGTTCTTCTCTCAAAAACCTAAGACATGTGCACTTATGTAACACATCATGACTTTGCCAGTATGAAACTAAGACTTCGACATTTTTGAGGCTGCAACACTATGTGTGCCTGCTTGGAAGCAGGCTTCTCTAAATGAAGGCCCTTACCTCTAAATAAACACACAGAGGACTGCTCTGTAAATTTCATATTCTATACCAGTTACATATCATGAATTTTTAAATCAGTAGAGTAAATTTAGGCTGATTAGTAAGCAATACTTACTCTCTACTAGGTATTGCGCATCTTCCAATTATATTCTTCCTTCCTTCCTTCCTTCCTTCCTTCCTTCCTTCCTTCCTTCCTTCCTTCCTTCCTTCTATCTATCTATCTATCGATAGTACCGGACACTGGCACAATTTTCACACTTCTGGCTCTGTACGCCACAACAATGGATTTGGAATGAAACAATCAAAATGCAATTGAAGTTCAGACTTTTATCTTTAATTCGAGGGACTGAACAAAAATATCATATGAAACGTTTAAGAATTGCAACCATTTTCATACAAAGTCCCGTTATTTCAGGGGCTGAAATGTAGCTGGCAAATTAACGCAATCATAAATAAAATGTTATTTTAAATATTTTGTCAAGAATCCTTTGCAGGCAATGACTGCTTGAGGTCTAGAAGGCACTGACATCATGAAACGTGGAGTTTTCTCTTTCAAAATGCTTTGTTAGGCCTTTTCTGCAGCTGTCTTCAGTTATTAGTTCATGGGTCTTTCTGCCTTAAAGTTTTGTCTTCAACACATGCTGGAATGGGCTGAGGTCAGGTGATGGGCTCAGCCATTGCAGAATATTCTACTTCTCTGCCTTAAAAAGAACTCCTGGGTTGCTTTCACAGTATGCTTTGGGTCATTGTCCATCTGTAAAGTGATGCGCTATCCAATCAACTTTGCTCAATTTGAGCAGACAATAGATCCCTATACACTTCAGAATTTGTCCGGATGCTTCTGTCCTTGGTCACATCGTCCATAAACACTAGTGACCCAGTGCCACTGGAAGCCATGCGTGCCCATGCCATCATTCGGCCTCCACCATGTTTTACAGACAATGTGATATGCTTCAGATCATGAGCCATTGCAAGCCTTCTCCATCCTTTGTTCTTCTCATCATTCTGATGCAGGTGGATCTTAGTTTCATCTCTCCAAAGAAGGCTGTTCCAGAAGAGGGCTGGCTTAAAAAGATACTTTTTGGCAAAGTCTCATCTGGCCTTTCTATCCTTGAGGCTTATGAATGGTTTGCACCTTGTGGTGAACCCTCTCTCTCTGTATGGGCTCTCGCGAAGTCTTCTCTTTGTGGTTGACTTGGGTCATGATCTGCCAGCCGTCTGGAGAGTTGTTCTTCCCTCGGCTGGATGCGTGCAGAGGGTTTTTCCCCCCCTTCTTCTTTACCATGGAAAGGAATCCGATGATCACCCACCACCACAACAGGTGTCCTCCATGGGCATCCAGACCTTTTTGTGTTGCAGAGCTCACCATTGCGGTGATCTTTTTTTTCTCAGAATGTACCAAAATGTTGATTTGGCCACTCCCAGTGTCCCTGCTGTCTGATGGATTTTTTCCTTTTTTTTTTTTTTTTTTTTTGGTGTGGTGGGGAGAGAATCCCCACAGAAATGCTGGGCCTTGCTGTTAGTCTTGCTGTGGTTGCTGCATGTTGTCCAGTCACCTCTCAAAGGGTCCTTTCGTTAAAAGCCCTGCTCAAGTCTTGGAAAGGCAGAGCCCGGAGTCGGCCGACCTCACTGTTCCTCTTCCCCTTTTCCCTCTGGGCTTCTGCTTCTGAGACCACTGAAACCATGTCTTTTCCAGTGAATTGGGATAAGTCACAAACAGGACAGCCTTGGTCTAATCATTTTTGCTTCTCAGGAGAGTCCAGGCTTGCTCTGATCTGTGTGCCTGCTCTAGGCCTTCCCGTCACTTCCAACAGACGGCGACTCAAGGAGAGTTTCCAAGGTATGTGGGGTGTCTGTGGGCTGCCCTCCTCACTCCCAGTGAGCTTCCGTGGCTGACCAGGCATTTGAACCCAGGTCTCCTGAATTGCAGTTTGACACTCTGTTCCAGAGGTGGCAAAGCTTTGGCCCTCTAGATGTTTGGGATGACGACCCCTAAGGTCTAGGGCTGAAGGTTCTGGAAGCTAAAGTCCAAAACAACCACCCTGTGGCTCCTGAGTTGCCATTTAAGTCAGTACGGAACCTATTTCCATGGTCTTTCTGTCAATCCAGAGTATCCTTAAAGCTCTCCTAAACCACCACCTTTTGATTTTTTTTCCATACAAAGGATGATCAGAGAGCAGCAAAAGTTTCTTAAAAATCCACACCTGGCCAAGTCTTGCTCATGCAACGCATAGGCTTCCTAAGGCAAAGGTTCTGAAGAGCCAACTAGCATCACACAACACGGGCGTCTTACTTGCAAGGCACCGGCCATGCTCAAAGAAAGCGCCGGGGGGGGGGAAGCCTTCTAGAATCAGGGGTCTCCAACCCCTGGCCCAAGGCCCAGTACTGGTCTGTGGCCTTGGCAGGACCGGGCCACAGAGCGAAATCTTGCAGGCCCCCTGCACAGATGCCCCCCATGCACGCACACCTCCCGACACAGATGCCCCCTACACACGCACACATGGATGCACACACCCCATGCATGCACAGATGTACTCCCGCACATATACGCGCCACCCCCCACAGAGGCTCACCCCCACCAAACCGGTCTGCGGTGTCAAAAAGGTTGGGGACCCGACTGTTCCAGATGCCTTTCGAGGAGCAGCTCCTCTAATCCTTCATCGCACCAGTCACCCCAGAGAGGGGAGGACCCCAAATGCCAGACAGGGCTCTCCTCGGTCAGCATGCTTCCTGCTCCTCATGGCCTGACACCTGTCCAGGGCAAGCTGCAGATGATGGCAACGACGACGTGACTACGCCCACACTAGGAAGATCATGTCCCAGCGTGGGGTGGTGGTGGTCTTCTCCAGGTGAAGACTCGGAGCTATGAGCAAGGCAGGCCCCCTCCAGAACAGGGGCAGCTGGGGCAGGCTGTGCACCAGGATCCAAGGATGAGCTATACTGAAGGTGGCACTGCCTAAAGAGGCACACAAGAGGATCCTGACCTACAAAAACTCACCCTGAAGCAAAACCGTTCATCTGTTAGGTGCCACACTCTTTGGAACTTTGACGGCCTTCCCCTCAGACATGGCTGGCTGAAGCGCCCGGTAGGAAGGACACTGCCTATTCTGACCTTGGCTTTTGTTCTGTAGCTCAACAGTGGATGTTCCTGACCACAGCGTTTTGTTTTGTTTTTAGCATGCAATGGGACGCAAAAGCGTGCCTTCAGAAAGAGAGGTTACTTACCTGTAACCACGGTTCTTCAAGTGGTCTTCTGTGAATGCACACAAAAGGGTTAACCCAGCGCCAGCGTTGGTCCTCTCGGAACATTCTCAAGCTTTAAGAGAAAAGTAACAAAGTTTAAGGCTGCCTATATTGCGCATGCTCCGTCCACCCCAGCCTCAGTTCCATTTATCCGCCACAGGTAGCTGAGCATGAGCTAGATACAACCAGTGACAGATAGAGGGGAGGCCGGGCGGGATTGTGTGAATTCACAGATGACCACTTGAAGAACCATGGTTACAGGTAAGTAACCCATCTTTCTTCATCGTGGTCTTCTGTGAATGCACACAAAAGGGTGATTAGCACGCTTAGTCACCGGATGGTGGGCTGTTACTGGAGGACAGACGTCAACACCGCTCTCCCGAAACATGTCTCCTTCTTGGCCCTCAGGTCTAGTCTGCAGTGAGTGATGAAGGTGGAGACATTAGACCGGGTGGCAGTCCTGCAGATGTCAGGCACATCAATGCCACGTAGCAGGGCAGTAGAAGAGGCCATGGCTCTGGTGGAATGAGCCCGAAGTCCTTCAGGTGGAGTCTTATGCTGACACTCATAAGCAAGCAAAATCGTGGAGACAAACCATCTGGAGAGCGTTGAAGACGATGCTGGGAGACCTTTCTTTTTCAGAGGAAAAGTAGCAGAGGAAAAGTCTGTTGGATAACCTAAAGTCCTTGGTTCTAGAAACATAGAAGGCCAGAGCCCTCCTGACATCAAGGGTATGGAGCATGCGCTCGGTGTCATTTGCAAGCTCAGAGAACAGAGTAGGCAACAGTAAGGGCTGGTTGAGGTGAAAGTCCAATACAACCTTAGGGAGAAAGGAGACATCAGGGTGCAACAGCACCTTATCTTTGAAAAACTGTAGGAAAGGCTGGTCAGAATGAAGGGCAGCAAGTTCACTTGCACATCTGGCGGAAGTGATGGCCACAAGGAACAACGACTTAAGAGATAACATCTTCAGGTTACACGTAGCCATGGGCTCAAAGGGAGGGCGAGTAAGGGCAGTAACACCAACTGAAGGGACCACTGTGGAACTGGTGGTCGAACTGGTGGTCTCAGATTAGTGAGTCCTTTAAGAAAGGCTTTAACTGTAGGATGGGAAAACAGACGTGATGAATCTGAATCCTTAGGTTGGAAAGAGATGATTGCAGCCAGGGTAAACTTTAATAGTGGAAAGAGACAACTTGAAATCAAACAGGTAACATAGGTATAGCGGTAATGTAGAGAGAGACACAGGGGAAGGCAGAAGACCCGTCTTCAGTGAACTTCAAAAAAACGTTTCCACTTATAACTGTAGAGAAGAGCAGTGGAAGGTTTCTTTGCCCGGTCTAACACCTCCTTGACCTTGGGGAGATCCTCCACACCGTTAGATGCAGAATGTCCACATCTGGATGGAACACTCTGCCTGCATCCTGTGTCAAGAGATCGGGTAATGTTGGTAGTCTCTTGAACTCCGAGGACATTCCAATCAACGTTGGATACCATACTTGCTGAGGCCAGTATGGTGCTATGAAGATCGCCCCCACAGGTGAGTAACGAAGCTTCACTAGAGACCTCTGTATTAAAGGAAGGGGAGGAAACATGTAAAGGAGTCCTTGATTCCATGGGATCATGAATGTGTTCCCTAATGAGTCCTTGCCTAAGCCGCCTCTGGATGCATACTTGGTGCACTTTGCATTGCGATGAGAGGCGAAGATGTCTACAGTTGGGGTCCCCTATAGGAGACAGAGGTCTTGGAACACCAAGGTGTTCAGTTCCCACTCGTGTGTCTGACGTGTGAGACGACTCAGCTGGTCTGCCAATACATTGTCTGCCATGTCCACATGTATCACTACCGGAAAGACATGGCACTGGTAGCACCACTCCCAAAGGTGAATGGCAAGGTAGAGAAGCGATCCTGAGCGTGTCCCTCCTTGTTTGTTGATATAGTACATGGCCGTGGTGTTGTCTGTCATTACCTGAACACCATAACCCTGCACCATGGGAAGGAAAGCTCTGAAGGCCTTGATGACCGCTATGATCTCCAGATGGTTTATGTGGAGGTTTCTTTCTTGTGCAGACCAAAGAGCATGAGCCTTGTGCTGTCCGCAGTGCGCTCCCCATCCTGTCAGACTGGCATCTGTTGTCACTTGGATGGTGAGCCGAAGTGGTCGAAAGGGTCTGCCTACCCTCAGATGTGGAGGATAGTTCCACCATTGGAGCTGTTTTACACGAAGGTGTTTCCTCTGACTGACTGTCATAGGATTGAAGAGTGCCAGGAACCATGACTGTAGGGACCGCAGTTTGAGATGTGCGTGTGCCAGAGCCGGAGTGGTGGAGGCCATGAGACCTAACAGATGTTGAACATGTTTCACCCTCACGCGGGCCCTTGGCCGAAACTTTTTGAGAGCCTTGCATATTTTTTGAATCCGATCTTTGGGCAGAAAAATTCGCCCTCTGATGGCATCCAGTCGTGCTCCGATGTAATGCACTATCTTGGAGGATTGGAGATGTGACTTCTCCCTGTTGATGGTGAGGCCTAGTTTTGGCAGCAACCGTAGAACGAATTTTGTGTCTTTCAGAGCCTGAGCCTTAGATGGAGAGACTACCAGCCAATCATTGATGTAAGGGTAGACATGGATGCCGTTGAGGCGTAGGTAAGCTGCTACGGGTGCCATGACCTTTGTGAATGTCCTGGGAGCTGTTGAGAGCCCGAAAGGCAAAGCCAGGAATTGATAAATGGTTCCTTGGAATATGAACCAAAGAAACTTGCGATGATCTGGATGGATGGTCACATGGAAGTATGCATCTTTCAGATACACCACCACAAACCCAATTATTTTTCTTTAGCAGAGGTAGGATGGACTCCAAGGTCACCATCCGGAAGCGTCTTGGATCCAGGTAAGTGTTTAGGATTCTTAGGTCGAGGATAGGTCTTATACCTCCCCCTTTCTTTGGCACGGTGAAGTACCAGGAGTAGAATCCATTTTTTAGATCTGTGATTGGGACAGGTTGAATGGCGTCCTTTTCCAGAAGTGACAGAACTTCCTTCTCTAAAGTGGGATCGAAAGATGTGTGACTTACGAACCCTAAGGGAGGAAATTCTATAAATTCCAGTCGGTAGCCGAACTGGATGATTTTCAATGCCCATGAGTCGTTTGTGATGGTAGACCAGTTTTCCAGAAATGGTTGAAGCCATGTGGTGATGGGATTTCTGTTTATGTTTATGACAGAGTCAAAGATACTCTTTTGATTTCTTGGCAGGTGGCTTATAGGATTGCCTATGCTGCGACTGTTGAGGACGATAACTGGGAGCGGAGGAAGAAGTCCGAGATGACCTTTGCTGCGGTAAGTTCTTATAAGGTCTGTACTGTTGTGAAGATTGCTGATATTGTGCATAAGACCTTCTCCATTGAAATTTGGTATATCTAGGTTGTGGCTGGATTGAGTAAGATTTAGCAGTCTTATTTGCCTTATGAAGCTCCTCCAAATGATTGTCAGTTTTCTCACTGAATAGTCCAGTCGGGTCAAAAGCAAGGTTTTCTACTTTGGTTTTGACATCTTCTAGGATGTTGGCAGATCTCAGCCATGCATGCCTATGAATAGTGACAGCAGACATGAGAACTCTGGCAGCAGTCAACAACCTTTGATGTTTCGATACAGTTTGTGCTTCCTCACAGGAATTTAGGAAACCCTGTCTGACATCTTCTGGGGTCATTTTGAGACCAGGTAAAATTTTCAGCCAGAGCTGCTTTTGGTATGCTCCCAGGGCAGTTTGATAGTTAATGATTCGTAGGAGCAAAGAAATTAAGGAGTAGATTTTTCTACCAAAAATTTCCAACTTCTTACCCTCCTTGTTAGTGGGAGTAACATGTGATTTTCCAGAGACCTTTCTTGATTGATGTCACCAAAAATAAGGTCTTCAGGGCGTAGGTTAGGTTGGTCTACCTCCAACTTTAAAGACTTTGCTAATCTTGAGAGCATCTGAGAGTATGAGGAGAAGTCCTCTGAGGGAGACAAAGCATGTGGATCCCCCATATCAGAACCGACAATTTCACCCTCAGGAAGGTCCCCTTGGCAAGGTTGCGATGGTAACTCCTGCTCAGACTCTGAAGATGCCACAGAGGAAACCTCATCCGGATCCGATGAGAAAACATCCTTTTTCCTTTTACGAGGTTGTCTTTCGGCGTCGAGATTTGAAGACTGAGTCTGCTGTGAAGAAATAAGAGCCGTTGATGTTGAGGGAACGGGTTCTGCAGGAGGTGGTACTGGGGCCCTTGAACCTTCGATGTCAATGATGGCGACAGGGTCGAGGAGACTCAGAAGAAGACGAAGAAGAAACGTAGACATACTTTACTTTCTTATGTTTTCGAGCTCGATCGGTCGACGCTGAAGAAGAATCCCAAGAGCTATAGTTTCATCGATGACGAGCCCTCGCTCTATCAGAGTCGTCTGAGTCAGAAGACCTATTTCGGCGTCAGTGTTTGGATCGACGTCGAGTCGAGGAACGGTGTTTTTTCTTAGAAGAGTGCTTTTTACGAGGGGATCTCAACCTCGAACGCGCTGACGAGACCGAAAGAGCCAAAGACCCCTGCCCATGAGGAATTGGGCTGTGTGGGGCAGAAGTCAAGCCTGCAGTAACTCCAGCAAGCTGACTCAGCGTCGGTGAAGAGACGCCAGCCGGAAGCGACGGCTCAACTTGTCAAGGAGGGAGCGATGGGGCTGCCTCTGACAAAGATTCACGGTCTCTCGACGAATCCTCCAATATAGGTGATGGTAAAGCTTCAGAAATAGGTGGAAGCTGAATGGAGGACTCCTTAGCCTTAACAGGAGCCTTTCCTTTTGCTTGTTTCATAGGTTTAGGTGCAGAAGCAGCAACAGACTTCGACGTCGAAGCGGATTTCTTCGAAGAAGTGGCCTTTTTAGATGGTTTAGTGAATTTGGAGACCACTGATTGAGGAGAAGCCCCCGCTTCGGATTGAGGGGTGGCCGAAGGTGAGGCCATTTCCATATCAAAAGGTCTAGTAGAAGCTAAGGTGGATTCCCACAGGTGATATTTAAGACGCTGTTGCCTGGCTTTTAGCGCAGCTTTGGTGAAGGCTTTACAATGTCTGCAAGATTTAGTGAGGTGAGATTCACCTAAGCAGAAAAGACAACGATCATGCCCGTCTTGGTGGGGAATCTTCCTTGAGCACACAATACAACGGTTAAATGGCTCTGAAGGGGACATAAAAGCTGAAAAGTCTTACTGGTAGCCATTAGCGAGGCGGGGGGAAAGGCGGGAAGTCCAAAGCAGCCAAAATTGAGGGGAAATCCAAAGACGGAGTGGAGCAAAAGAGCAGTCTGCGTCAGGGAAGGAGATAATTCACAAAGTCAGTCCAAACCAATGTCAAAAACCAAATGTATCAGACCAAACAGCAAAAATATAAAGAGCTTGAAGTGAGAGGTTCCAAATCGCTAGGCGGATAAATGGAACTGAGGCTGGGGTGGACGGAGCATGCGCGGTATAGGCAGCCTTAAAC